GTTCATACATTTAATTTAAAAGAGGGCTCAATACAAAGTAGAGCAATATTATTTATTTTAGGATATTAAAACAACATATAAAAATTGCTACACAATTGCAGTCGTGTTTCGATGCATACCAATGCGTCTCCTCAGGCCATTGTAAATTACCGGTGAGTGAATGATTAATTTAGTCTACCTCCCCAAATGAGACTCTGCAGAGCCTCGTCCAGGTTCCTTTCTACCCGAAGGCAGAGTGTTCAACTGTATAGCCAAAAAAGATTCCGGCTGTGCTCTCTATTCCATTGACTTACAGACACTTATAGGTAGTACTACCTATAGTGTAGTTACTCATGGAGGTGACAGGTTATTCCATTACAATATATATATATATATATATATATATATATATATATATATATACAATATGAGACAAAAAATGGGTGCACCCAGAGAAATGATGCTGAATAAAATATAAAGCTTATTACATTTGTGTTTACATTTATTAACATGCCTAACTAAACATTGTTCTGACTTTGAGAAAGGCCAAATCGCTGCTTTTCATGATCTTGGGCTGTCGAATAGATTGATAGCTAATAAAATTAATCGAAGTGAGTCATGTGTCCGCAAGTTAATCAAAGAGAAAGATCAAACTGAAATCTATAATAGACAAAGCGGATGTAGCCAATCACCAGAAACTACCAACAAGGAAGGTAGAAACTTGGTTTGTTAATGCAAAAAAGATTGATTCGCAACAGCACAAGACGCTTCCAAAGCAGCTACTTCAGCGGTTTCTTCAAGAATAGTCAGACACAGGCTTAAAGCAAAAGGCATTGTTTCCAAATACATAAAAAGAAAACTTTCATATCAGGAAAGCAAAGCTCATTTACACTGAACTAAATCTGATTGGGAAGATGTTATGTGGAGTGACGAGAGCCCCTTTACTCTTAGATATGAAGAACGAACACGTGTTTGGCGGAACAAATATTCCAGTGACTACCAAGGGTACTGTTAAACATGATAAAAAAATCAACATTTGGGATGCATTCTCAGCAGCAAAAGTTGGTAATTTGTACAAAATCAAGGGAATCATAGACCAGCAACAATACCACAACATTCAACAAATTCTTTTACTCCCTTGTCTTGGTAAAAATACAAAAATCAACTTTCTATGGGTGTGTCCATTTTTTTTGCCTCATAGGTCTGATGAATTGGATCGTATTTACGATTCCAATGGAATAAATTATGACCCTGGAATATCAGTGTTTAAGCCTTTTTATTATATCCTTACTCTGTCCTGGACATTGAGTTCTACCTGGATTTTATCCTCTTGGAATTATTTTTTTTTATACAAATATATATGTATGTGTATGTATGTATGTATATATATTTTGCATATGTATGTGTATATTTACCACTAATATTATCTATCTATCTATCTATCTATATATATATATATATATATATATATATATATATAACTAAAGAGCATTTGAAAAAGCTTTAAATAAACGATAATGTTTTTGATGGCAAGGTTAAATTAAAGGGAAAATTTTGGGGTCATGCCTATTTTGTGTTCAGAGGATGCAAAAGGCAGAAAAAAAATTTTCTTTATGTGCGTATCATTTGGTCACATCACTATTTTTCCCTGGAGGCGGGGATGGTGCTGGTGTGGTAGGTCTAGGCAAAACGTTGACCCTCTCGACAAGGCCCTTATTTATATATTTTCACCCTCTCTTCCTCTTTCTCTCTCCTGCTCTTTCTCTATCACTCTCTCACTCTCTCTTTCACTCTTACTAGAATTACAAGTCTAATACTTTTGAGTACTTGTATTCATGTGTTTCTATGCTCCTGTCAAAGGGAAAGAGATAAAAAACAAAAAGAAACTAAAATGGTCAATTTCTAAATAGAATATCTCAAGCCCTCCACCACCATTATTGAACTTCCCCACTTATTTTTTTTTAAAGTTTTTGTTGCTTTCAGGCTCCCACCCTTCAAAAGTTTCTTACCGAATCTAAAAACATTCTTTAAAAAAAAACCCTTCACAGGCCCAATAAAGACGATTAAAAAAAATAAATCTGTTAGGTAGAAGTCAGTCTAAGATCAACTGGCATTAAATTCTCTTGACCTTGTAGAAATAAACAAAAAGAAATAGAAAGAAACAATGAAAAGAAAAAGACTAGAAAGAAAAAAATGAGAAAAAAAAAGACAACAAAGACACAAAGAAAGAAAAGGAGAAGAAGAAATAAAAGAAAAGGAAAAGATTAGAAACAAAACAAAGAAATGAAAAAACAAGAGAGAAACAAGGAAAAGAAAAAGACTAAAAAGAAACAAAGAAAGAAAAAAAACTAGAAAGAAACAAAAAAGACCAAAAAGAAACAAACAAAGAAAAAGGCAAGAAAGAAACAAAGAAAAGAAAATATTAGAAAAAAATAAAGAAAAGAAAAAATGAGAAAGACACAAAGAAAGAAAAAGACAAGAAAAAACAAAGAAAAGGAAAAGATTAGAAAGAAACAAAGAAAAGAAAGAGGCTACAAAGAAAGAAATGGACAAGAAAAAACAAAGAAAAAGAAAAGATTAGAAAGAAACAAAGAAAGAAAAAGACTAAAAAGAAAAAAAGAAAAAAAAATGGTTAGCCATCTGCTGAAGTGAATTTGATCCTCATCACTGGGTGTCCCTCTCAATAAGTTAAGCTTAGTAAATATCATGAGGTTTTTACTATGGAGTAGTGCTTAACAAGTTAGTCTTGTAAAACAATTACTACTGTAATGAGTTTAGTCCTTACGAGAAGATTATCGCATGTAAGTCAAAGAGAATGTAATGACCTATTCCAGATGGTGACGTTTCACTCTGTACAAACGAAAGGTTAGGAAGGAAACCGCCATCAGTAGAAAAAAGAGCAATAACCATAAATGGCCATGAGAAACCTATTCTCCTGAAAAATTGTTTTAAGAGAAAGATTTTATGAATTTCAATCAAAGGTATCACGGATGTTCAGTCAATGAATACCAAATGTTTCCTTATAAGTATATTTTAATATTACCATTCATGTTACCTTATGTCATACTAAGTTAAATAAAGTAATTACTACTGTTGCCAGTTCAAGCCTTATAAGAGATCTTATACGATATGAAATGAAGTAAATAATATGGATATTTAGCTAAAAATTTAGTTTTGTGGTTAATTGGCTCATATAAACTATTATTGTTGTTTATTTTAAACTTAACATATATTGTCATCCACAGACAGACTGTTTCGCTGTATAAATTCCATGATATATTCATATCTTAAATTATTTTTTGCTCATAGATAAGGGAATAACTTTGCAATTGCATTGTACTTATAAAGTATCACAAACTTAAATATTGCGGCCATTTTTATTATAAAGAGACAGACGAACTATTTTCTATGTTTTTTTTTCATTGTTTTTTTTTTTTTTACCAAAAACCATTGTAATCACCATTAGACTCATTCAACTCTTTCCAAATCCTCTGCACTGTCCTCAGATTGACACGCAAACACTCTGAAATGTTTATATTGGAGGTTCCAGTGCTAATGCCAAGCAGTGCAGCATGCTGTTTCTAAATTTCTGGTGGAGTGAATTGCATCATGGTGCTCCTTTTCTTACAGATGGTTCCCAACTGACCCTACTATACTGTCCAGTCAAGAAAATCAAAAACAAACAACCCGCATGTGCTTGTGTTTCAAAGGTTTTAGTCTATTGGTTTCAGTATTGCTTTGAGTTGGTCTTTCTATCTTCAAAGAGGGCAACCCCCATTGTCTTGCTACATGTCCTGACCCTCAAAGACAGTGTTTAATGATCAGCAATTCAATACTTTGTCTGTCCTCAAGGACACATTGCACAGTGGATAAAGTTGTTGGTTAGATCCAGTATCATGAGCCAAAGAGTGTGAGTTCAATACCCAGTTAAGGCAGTGGAAAACTTGGAGAGGGGAATTAACAGGAGATAACTGATAACTGACACCCACTAAACATGGCACGTGGAACTAGAACAGTCTACCCCAGCAAGCGAAATAAAGGGTTCAGTTTGACATTCCAACCACCCGAAGAAGGCCGGAGCATACAACGGCTGAAACGTTGTAATAAATATGGCGACAAATATGAGGACAATAGTTTGAATAATGTAAATAGTGTACATAATACCTCATCGCAGAAATATAGACAGATACTGAAGGGCCAAAACTTTGTAATAAATATGGCGACAAAGATGAAGACAATAGTCCAAATAATTTAAATAGTGTACATAATACCTAATCTCAGAAATATAGACAGATACTGAAGGGCCGAAACTTTGTAATAAATATGGCGACAAAGATGAGGACAATAGTCTGAATAATGTAAATGGTGTACATAATACCTCATCTCAGAAATATAGACAGATACTGAAGGGCCGAAACTTTGTAATAAATATGGCGACAAAGATGAGGACAATAGTCCAAATAATGTAAATAGTGTACATAATACCTAATCTCAGAAATATAGACAGATAATGAAAGGCCAGAACATTGTAATAAATATGGCAACAAAGATGAGGACAATAGTCTGAATAATGTAAATGGTGTACATAATACCTAATCTCAGAAATATAGACAGATACTGAAGGGCCAAAACGTAATAAATATGGTGACAAAGATGAGGACAATAGTCTGAATAATGTAAATAGTGTACATAATACCTCATCTCAGAAATATAGACAGATACTTTGACTGTTTGCTCTCTCGGTCTTTGGTGTTCGTTACATAGTAATTCCATTTGATGTTCAAGATTGAATGAAGCTTGTAGTGATTATGTAACCAAAGTATGTTTCATTTTAATGGTTATTATTAGAAAGACAATCTATATATGGGAAAGCAATTTCATTGACAATGTTAGTTTGTTGAAGTTTTGATTTTTTGTTACATCACTGGTGGCAACTTTGTTATCATTCTTGTAGATTTTTAGTATTTTATACTAAGTGATGAGTTTAATTTGTTAATATATATATATTTTTTTTTTTCCAGCTCAGGAATTTATTGACCAACGATTAGAGGAAATATCTCATGACAGATCTGGAGTATCCACATCAAAAACAGGAGCTGACCTGCTTACTTACCTTCTGAGCAACCAATCCTTCTCAATTGCAGAAATCTACTCCAACATGGCCGAATTGTTTTTAGCTGGTTTGGATACTGTAAATATCTTTTCTCTTTTTTTTTTCTCTTCTGCAGATATTTCTTACTATATGTATCATATTTTTCAGGGCATGGTTAATCATGACTCTCCACAACTTCCTGTTTACATTGCTCTAAGAAAATTACGATCACATTCTTTTGCTTTTTTAATAATCATTTCACCCCCCCCCCAAGCAACATGGTAATGCCACTAAGATGCAAGGAGTTAGTAGGATGGAAGAGAATGAGAAAACTTTAGAAAGGAGAAAGGCCAATAAAAGAGCACAGTTCAGGAAGGCAGATTTTGATTTATGTTGCATTTAATTTTTTGAAGATTGTGAAAAATCAGAAGAGACTTTCATAGGCAAGAAAAGAAGCAATTACCTGTCTGATATTATTAAGCAAATCATATAAACTTCAATAATTCAAATTTGGTTTGAAAAAAAATTGTCAAATTTTAAACAATCAATTTAGATGCCAGCACAAAGCCAGAGTTAAAATTTTAGGTAGTATCAATATGTTTTCTTGAACTTATTTGATGTATTCTAAAAAAATGTCTATCTGAAGTTAGTATGCCAAACCTAATAATCATATTTTACTTCAATAAAAAGATAATAAAATCATCAAAAATTGATCAGAATCTATAATAGAACAAATAACAAACACATATGAAAAGTCTTTAAATCCTTTACATTTTAATCTAGTGACCCTTCTTCTCAATAACAGCTGGTAATCGATCATCCATTGATTTTGTTAATTTTTTTACTTCAGCAGGTTCAATTTCCAACATGGTAGTTTTAATTGCTACCCATAGTTATGCTTTGTTGTTATATTGTTTGCCACCTTTATCCACTGTGCCATGTGTCCTCAAGGACAGTGACAGGTGTTGGTTAGATCCAGTGACAGGACCCAAAGAGTATGAGTTCAATACCTGGTTAAGGCAGTGGAGAACTTGGAGATGACAACTGACATCCATTAAACATGGCACGTGGAACTAGAACAGTCTACCCCAGTGAGCGAAATAAAGGGTTCAGTTCGACATTCCAACTACCTGAAGAAGGCCGGAGTGTACAATGGCTGAAACATTGCAATAAATATGGCGACAAAGATGAGGACAATAGTCTGAATAATGTAAATAGTGTACATAATATCTCATCTCAGAAATATAGACAAACTTTGTCAATGTAACTTTTGTTTTACATCTACAAATAGCATCTTGGTCTTATATGTTCATTATGTCTGCTTTTTGCTTTTAATTTAGGCTTCAAATTCTTTGGGATTTGCAATATACCTCCTGGCCAAATATCCCAAAGTGCAAGAAAAGCTTCAGGAAGAGATTTCTAGGACATTACAAGGTGAAATGTGTACGAGTTCACACCTAACAAATATGCCATATTTGAAAGCTGTTGTCAAAGAATCCATGCGGTAAGTTCAAAGTTCAAATTTAAAGTTAAATTTTCTAATTTGCTTTAGATTTAGAAAATGCAAAAAATGACTTTTTTCTTTGGATTTCAGATATAAAGAGTCAACATTTCATGGGTAAGGCTTTCCAACCTTTTTCTATCTAGGATAATGTTTTCCAACTTATTTTCTCTAGGGCAATGTTTTCCAACTTAATTTTCTAGGGTAAAGTTTTCCAAATCTTTATTTCTCTAGGGTAAAGTTTTCCGAATCTTTTTTTCTCTAGGGTAATGTTTTCCAATAATTTTAAACATAAGCCATTACTGGCTATCCAAAAACCATTAGAATAATACAATAGTCCTTCTACCCATAATGCACTATTGACTAGCATATATAAATAGTCAAGCCAAAACACAACACACATGAGCTGAAGATTGCATTTAAGCATGAAACATTGTGTTGACATGAATATCCACTTTTATATTTACGTTCTTGAATGTGTATATATATATATATATATGTGTGTGTGTGTGTGTGTGTGCGTGTGTGTGTGTGTCTGATTAAATAAATTATAAGCATTAATGTCTGCTTATTTTTAGCATAAACCTTTCATATTCATGTATATTTTTCTGAATATTACAATCAAATGCCTTTCTCTTACATTTATTAAGTAATAAATTACATCACAAAGTGTCTTCCATAGTTTACCTTTGTTTTCACAGCTACCTTTAAGAATATTTTAACATGTTCCCAAATTTAGAATTCGATAACAATATTTTTCCTCCACTTTACTTCTGTGTATAAAAATAACTTACAAAAAGAAATCTGTACATTTATCTTGATAAAGTTCCTCAGGGAATGAAACACATTGGTAAAGAAAAGTTTTACTTTTGTCTTTTATATATATATAGTGTTAGTGGTCAATATACATATATACAGTAAGTATAAGTAAAATAATTTAACCCAAATAAATAAATAAACGGCTTCCGGTAAAATAACCGCCATAATAGACTACCCACAATGCACCACTGACCCGTATATGTATAAATAGCTGAGAAAAATAACAGCACATGTGGCCTGATGATTGCATATAGCATGAAACAGACTGTCACCTCTAAGTGTTGACTTCTATGTTCACTTTTATATTTATATATATATATATATATATATATATATATATATAAATTCCCAAGAGGATAGAAACCAGGTAGAACTCAATGTCCAGGACAGAGTAAGAATATAATATAAAGGCTCAAACACTAATATTCCATGCTTATAATTTGTGACATTGGAATCGTAATCACAATCCAATGCATCAGACTTGCAAATTCAAAATAGTATTGAATTTAATTCAATTTTGTTTTTATTAATAAGGCTTCCATTATTACATACAAAAAACTATTTCTTATTTTAACAGTTAAAATATAATCCTTGTAAATAAATCCTAAAGACCTAGGAACTACCTACCTAGGTTTCGCCTGAGCGAATCTTCAGGCTAATCTGGTCAATAAGGAAATGATGCAGAACAATATTTATTGATAAGACCAACACTAAAAAAAAAATTAGCATAAACCTATTAATTAACTAATTTAAAAATATGGTTTCTTCGTTTACACAGGAATTACCATGTTTCAAAAACCAAAGCTAAAAACCTCAAATTCATTTATATAATTAAATTAAAAGCATTAGTTCTATTTCATCTTCAAGCGAATTTTGGAATAACTTATTTTTTTTAAATTTATTGAGTTTTAAACACACATAAAATTCATAATTTTTTGTTTCCAAGGATACAGAGAAATCCAATCATTTTAGACAGGGGTGGTAGCATGTTCATTTTTATTAACTATTATTGTATCAATTATGAGTTACATTCAAAAAAGAGGTCAAGTTTAGGAGGGTAGTGGTGTATTTTCAATGAATATTGACATCCATTCAACACATATATATGAATATATATATATATATATATATATATATATATATATATAATTATTTTTATAAAAAATTATAACATAAGTATGTTATAAGATCACTACAAAAAATAGCCATTTGTATGATGAAAAGATAAGACAAAAATTGATATAGGTCTAAAGAAAATATGGAACATTTTATGATAAGCATTATAATTGCAAGATTTGTTTAATTTCAGACTTTATCCTGTTATTCCAATGGGTGCAAGAATCACCACAGAGGACATTGTTTTAGACGGCTACCTCATTCCCAAAGGGGTGAGTATGATAATCTATTCTTCAGTGTGACAAAAGGTTTTTTTTTTTTTTTTTTTTTTTTCTTTTTTTTTTAATTCCAAGCAAGTTTCCCACTTCAGATGCTGAATAATTAAGTTTTACCCCAAAAAATTTGATTGGAAAATAAGTTTTGGAATAAAAACTTATCAGAATTCTGGGGTTTCATTCTTCTTCAATTAACTGTTAATGATCCACTATTTCTTTCTATCTATCTATTGATATTATTCTAGTCATTATCTATCTATCTATCTATCTATCTAAGTTTCTCTATATTCATCTATCCCAGTTTCTCTGTATCTATCTCTCTATCCTATTCTAGTCATATCTATCTATCTATCTATCTATCTACCTATCGCATTCTAGTCATTATCTATCTATCTATCTGTCTCATTCTAGTCATTATCTATCTATCTATCTCATTCTAATCATTATCTGTCTATCTATCTATATATCTATCTATCTATATATCTATCTATCTATCTATCTACTTTGGTGGTTAAAGAGGTAGCAAATCAGCCTGTGTTAAAGACTAGCATAATTTCAGGGGGAAATTTTTAAGACTGAAATATATCTCTTGAAGGTTTTTGTGCTACATTATATCTTTAACCAAATCTAAAATCTTAATGATTAAGAAGAACCCAATGATGCAGTTGATAATGATTATATACACATCTTGCGTTTAGTGGAGTCATCTTGGATTTGCAGGTTGCATAGTTTTTAACGGCATAAAATGTAAATTTGGCAAAACAAGTTCAAATTCCAGCCTTTTCTGGGTTTTTTTTAAAATCATTTCACCCCAAACAAGGCAATAAAGCCACTAAGATGTAAGGGGTTACTGAGAGTGAAAGAAACTGAGAGGACAACAAAAGAAGCAGATTCAAGGAAACACATGATGACGATTGATGTTGTATTTTAAATTTTGAATATTGTAGTTGAAAGGAATGCAAGAGACCAGAAGAGAGTTCCACAAGCAAGAAGTGTGAGAGAAAAAATTATTACAATAGAAATTATGGTTACATCTAACAATTTCAAAATTAAAATGATGAGACCTAACTGCCAATCTAGTACCATGCTTAAATTTGTGAAGTTGGGGTACCAAGTTTTGCTCATTAGAACAATTACCAGGAAATTATTTATAGAAAAGGCAAAGGGAAGCTACATTATGCCAGTGGAAAAGGAACTGGCATTGAGGTGCCAGGTCAGGGCTGATAAAATTGCAGATTATTCTTTGGATTTTTTTAAAGAATTTTCAAATATACAGTGTGTGATGGGTAAATTAATGCCATTTTATTTTTGAATTTTATGCATGCATGTCGTTTGTTTTTGATTTTGTCAACTGTATAGTATAGTAGGGTTAGTTGGCCCCCTCTGTGAGAAAAAAAGCACCCTGATACAATTCACTCTGCCAGAAATTTGGAAGCAGCATGCTGTACTGCTTGGCATTTGCACCGGAAGCTCCAATACGAATATTTCAGAGTGTTTGGGTGTCCATCTGAGGACAGTGCAGAGGATTCGGGAAGAGTGATTACAATGGTGTTTCGAGTGATCACTTGTGATAGCAACATTATACCTCCATTCATTTTCCCACAGGACCTCAGATTCAACACCTACATCAAGTACCTTGAGGAAGTAGAGCAGTTCTAGGTCAAGAGGGTGGCTACTGGAAAACCCGATGTCTGGCAACAGGATTCTGCACCATGCCACACAGGAGAACCCAGTTATGGCTAACAGACAATTTCTGTGATCATATTACCCCTTAAATCTGGCCACCTAACTCCCCAGACTGCAACCCCCCTTGATTATTATGTGTGGGGTGCAGTTGAGCGAGAGGTCAACAAAACTCCTTGTAACACCAAAGATGAACTGAAGGCAAGGATTATGGCAGCATTCACCAACTTAAACAAGAAGATCATCCAGAAGAATTGAATATTACTGTCATATTCTTGTCTGAAGCATCTGCTATACAGGGGGTGATAAATTATCATCTAAATTATGTAAAAATGAAAATAACGCTGACGTCTCATTTTAACAGGTATATTTAACATAATTACACAAAAATATCTTGAAATACTAAAGAGAAAATTCATTCAATAAATCCATTGGCTTCAACCACAGCCTTCAGACAACTTCGGAATCTCCTACAACTCTTCTGGACGGTCTCCTTGTTTAAGTTGGTGAATGTTGCCATAATCCTCAAAATATTCACTTCCTATCATTTCTTCAATTCATATCAGATACCTCTGTCATCATAATCATTTTAGCAGTAAACCTCTACTTTGACTGGCTCTCGAGTCTTGACTTTAGTATAAAAAAATAAATAAAAGCAACAAAGATGAGGAAACTGAATTTAAAAGGCTAATTCTAGAAAACTGTCAGAAATTTAAAGAAACAATAAATTGTCTTTTGCTCTTCTCCAGATTTTCTCTTCACGATGCTGGTTGACTTATTTTTCTTTTGCAGTCCCATTGCGTCGATTGAATAATAATTAATGACCCACCCCAACTATTTTCCAACCCTAACAATCTCACATATATAAAACAGGTGAAATATACCGCATTTTTTCTATGCAATTCTTTTGATATTGTTTGCTTTGGTCTTTCTGCTTCAACAGACATGTTTGATGATCAACAATTATGTGATGTCACGAGACGAGAGAAACTTTCCACAAGCAAATGAATTCATCCCGGAGAGGTGGTTCCGAAATGACACGAGAAAATTCCACCCATTTGCTGTGATTCCATTTGGACATGGCTCCAGAAGTTGCATTGGTAAGTGCTTTGTAGGTATTTATTAACCTTTCTTTTTTCTTTTTTTTTTAATCATTTCATCCCAAGCGAGGCAATAAAGCCACTAAGACACAAGGGGTTGCTGAGAGTGAAATAATCTGAGAAAAACATTATTGAGGAGAAGGCGGACAATAAAAAACAGGATTCTAGGAAACAGGATGATGAGTGACGCTGCATTTAAATTTTTGAAGATCAAGGTGTTGCAGCATACCTACGGACAATAATGGGTATGTCTCCACTTACATAAATACAGTAGTAAATACTGTATGTTGGTCTGTAGTTGGAGATTCATTGTGGAATTCATTTGACTCACTTTTGGCAATTGACTACTTCTTCTACACACCACTGGCAAATGTTATATGTGTTGTTCGTGTCCTAAGTATTTTGCTCACTGGGGTATACTTTTCTAGCTTAATGGATGTCAGTTATCAGTTATCTCCTGTTAATTCCCCTCTCCAATTTCTCCACTTCCCTAACCGTGTATTGAACTCACACTCTTTGGAAGAGGGGAATTAACAGATAACTGATAACTGACATCCATTAAAAACATGGCACGTGGAACTAGAACAGTCTACCCCAGTGAGCGAAATAAAGGGTTCAGTTTGGCATTCCAACTACTTGAAGAAGGTCAGAGCGTACAATGGCCGAAACATTGTAATAAATATGGCCACAAAGATGAGGGCAATAGTCCGAATAATGTAAATAGTGTATAAAATGCCTCATCTCACAAATATAGACAGATACTGAAAGGCCAAAACGTAATAAATATGGCAACAAAGATGAGGACAATAGTCCAAATAATGTAAATAGTGTACATAATATCTCATCTCACAAATATAGACAGATACTGAAAGGCTGAAACGTTGTAATAAATATGGCGACAAAGATAAGGACAATAGTTCGAATAATGTAAATAGTGTATATAATACCTCATCTCAGAAATATAGACAGACCCTGTAGTAGAGTCATCCCTATGTCAATTTCTTTTTTAAAAGTTGTACTATATCATCCATTGAAATTAATGTTGCATATATATTTCACTAAGACATTTAATTTTTCATGAGATTAAAGAATAGAAATGAATTGGATGGTTAGCCATTGCATGTTTCTTCTAATTTCTGTTTCAAAACTTATTTTCAAATTTTCAGAGAAAGGAGCTAATTAGAAATACATTTGAAGGTTTTAATTAATCAATTGTACTTTTCTGTTTGATGTGACTTTATTATATTTCTATATATTAATAAATTATGAAAATAAAAAGATATTGTCCTTCATTAAGAATTAAAAAATAAATAAATATTGCTGACATATCAAATACTTTTGTAAATAATTGATATCAGCATCTGTTTACTTTGTGCTTTATTATCCACTAGCAGCATGGCCCGGTGTTGCCCGGGCTTGATACAAAAATCGTACGACTCATACAGCAATCACTATCACTTGACTTAAAATATTTTTGTCTTTCCTTGCTTTTAAAGGAGTGCCCTTTGCCATGTTGATGTTGCTACATGCCTTATTTTTGACTATCTCACACTGCAAATTTTTTTCTAAGCTCTATACTAAACATTAAATCTGTTACTTAAAAAAGAACTAAACAAAATGAACACAAAACGATCAGCTTTAAAAAGGACTCTGAATTGAAAAACCAAATGAAAAAAAGTAAAAACAAATACTTTTTTCACATCCAACCCAGTTTCATGAATCAGAATCAACATTGAGTTTAAGTGTTTAATGAGCCAATTGGAGTAAAGTGCCATGCAGATTTAAATTTTTTCTCACTTGTGATGAATGCAATTATCGATTTTTTTGCATGCTAGCATGCTAGTAAACATTCGTGTCAGTCAGCTGTTGGCTCTCACACTGGCCAATAGAATCTTCCTGCCTATTCGTGGCAGCCAGCTATAGGCTCTCACTCTGGCCAGTAGAAAATGGTCACAAACTACATGAAAACTGCTGTAGAAGCATGAAAAAATCAATTATTTCCACTATCGATGGGATTTGAGAAATGCAAAGTCAGTGTTGGCCTTTCCACTAACTTGGAGCATGTGCATGTAAATTTTGGTGCAAATCAGTCGAAAATTGCGGCCGTGCATTCATTACACACACACACACACACACACACACACATCCTGCCTTTTATAGAGATTGTCTTAACTGAGTGGATTTGTAATTTTTCCATTTCAAATAAGAGGTTTTGTAAGCCGAGGAAAAATTTGTGTACTTGATGTATGAAATCCACCCACTTTTTTGCTTTTAATTTTCATTCAAAATGTTTTGTATTATGCACAAGAAAATACAGTAAACTATGAAGGACACTAAGTAACATCATTTTCTGGCCTATGAAACAAAAGTTAGTTAATGTTGTTGTTTATATTTAATCATCATTTATTTTTACATATTTTATTTTGGTTATAAGTTAATTAATTTTTAATTTTTAAATGTCATGAGATTCTTCTAATTTTTTTTAAATCCTGTTACTTAACACACCCTGCCAAAAGCTGATAAATAATGGACTAGTCTGTATTAATTGTGAGGAAAGATGAAAAAGACATATCAGAGATGCTGTTTTCTTTCAGCGAAAGAAAGACAAAAAGAAAGAGAAAGTGATAATGCTCTCATGCGTTTAACATCTGCATCAGAAAAATAAAAGAACTTGTCAATTTCAATTTTTTTCATTTGTACCCTCTTACTTCTTTAAATAATGACCTGCATTCAAACTTACGATTGTAATATTTTGTTAAAGTTGCTAAGCTCAAATATTTAATGATGTGACAGGGGAGTTTCCCTGCATAATTTGTAGACATGAAGTGCACAAGGAGCTTATTCAATCTTTAACTTAAGAATTACGATTCCTCAGAAAACTCAATTATAATCATATTAGCACATGATATGCATATTTGTGTTTATACTTAATTTGCATATGAATTCATATGTTTGATATTATATAAAAAAAAATTTAAGGGAATTAAAATTACTTGATACAACAACAAAATTTTAATATGTGTTGTTTTATTTGATTGCAGGGCGACGTGTTGCAGAATTGGAACTTTATCTTGCAATTACAAATGTAAGTACTTTTACATTAGAACATGGAAAAAGTGATGCCCAAATATTAAAAAGCATATATATATATATATATATATATATATAAGCGAACATTGAAGTCAACACTCAGAGGCAACAGGCTGTTTCATGCTAGATGTAATTCGTCAGGCGGCCTGACAATTGCACCTAGCATGAAACAGCCTGTCACGTCCGAGTGTTGACTTCAATGTTCACTTTTATATTTATATTTACTTATGCTCTATCTCTGATATTGAGCACTTTATCACATAAATATAGTACACCTTAAAACTGTATTTCTTATATATATATATATATATATATATATATATATACAGTGTAACCCGGATATAA